TGAGCTCTGCATTGCACGCTTTCGTTGCATTAATCAGATCTAATTTCAGGATTCCACTGCCGTTGCTTAAATAACAGCCTAGGCCTAGCCAAACTCACTTCCAACCTTTCGGAAGATTCAGAATATATCTTTTCTACATACCCTATCCTTGGTTCTTTTTCTTCTTGGGACAGAAATCGAGAAAGAACTTGAGTAAATATTAGTGACAGGTTTTGACGAACATCAGCAACCGCCTAGTCACTAAACATTGTCTCAATTAACTCTTAGAACTTCTGCGTTCTGTGAGTTTGTAGTTCACTGGGCACCCGTGAGATTGGTGATACATCCTACTGACCCCCCAAACCGCTGCCTTGGATTGCACGTAGTTGTAAAAGACCTTTGGATAAATCCGGGCCTTTTCTGCAAAGTGTTGTTTATATTGCCCGCGACAACTTAGCCGAACCCGCAGAGCTTTTTCGCTTACCCGTTTGAAGATCATCAGGTGGCTGTGGCCGTTTGTTTCCCTAAAGGCCCTCCAGGCTCCCGTTTTTATCCATTGAGCCCTGTGCGCTCTCCAGGGTGGTTTACCCTGGCAAATCACTCGTCTCAGAGGAGCGAACACATCCGTCAGAGTGAGTATTCTGTCCTAAATGAGCCCCAGTATTCCTCTGCAGATGTTCTCTGCCCCCCTCAGATAATAGTTGAGGCTTCCTGGACGAGACACCGAAGACCTAATTTGCCGAAAGCTCTCCCTAACTTGTGAGGTGGATGTGTTAGGTGATCACGGTATGCGAATCGGATCACCCTATGGTCATTTCTGCCCAATTGTATGGTGATCTCGAGATCCTACACTTCGTTCTGGCTTATGGTGAGTACTATGTCTAGGAGTTCATGTGTGCGGCCCTGCTGCCATCTTGTCAGCTGTCTCACATGCTGGTGGAGTATCCTTAGCATTATGTCTTTTGTTAAGCTTGCTCCAAATGCACTTTTTGGCCCCCAGTTATTTTCCCATTGAATTTCCGAAGCACTGAAGTGCCCCATTATGACTAACCCCTCATTCCGCCAGTCGACTAGGTTTCAGTAGCTCAAAACCTGAGTATCTTCCTATGTCTTCCACTTTATTTGTGTTTTCCCCTGGCAGCCTTTGTATGGCCGCATCCCCCTTCCTGAAAGTTGACTGAACATTTGTATATTCAATAAACAGAAAAGGAAGTAAAAAGACATTTTTATGTTAAGGAGGACGGGCTAGAATACACGCACATTATTCTTATACTACGCCCTTGAGTCTTGACCCTGCAATCCATTGCCTGGATGTTAGGTATTACTAGTTTATTCCCTGGTCTTTGTTCAGTGCTCTCCTCTAGTAGAAGGGTAGCTCCATCCCACCACCATTTTTCTATTCTCCCTATCAATTCGGTGTAATCTGTAGCCCAATGGAACTGCCATGACTAAGGGAAAGTCTCCTTTTTATCCAAGTCTCTGTGATCGCTATGCAAACCCATCCTGAGGCCTAGACTCAAAGCTCATTCCACTTATTTCGTCCACCGTATGCGCTTTCGTACATTACCGAGAACCTATTGGGCTCCTCTGGCTTCTGGTTGTGGCACTGGGAAGTTAGTTTCGAGTGCCTTGTCTGTCTACTTGTCTTCGAACCCCTCAATAATAACTTATTTACTTCCTTACGCAAGGGGTATGACGCGTCTTTTGGGTTAGTGGTGACCTCTTTTTCCAAGCAACTACCTGAAACCTTGGCATGGGTTAACGATAGGCTACTCCTCTGGCTAGAGAGGGGTTATTGAGCCTCGTGGCTTAAACCGTCAGTATAGGTCCCCTGCTATGGTGGGGAAGGTTGCCGAATTGGTCCTCCTCCAGCTTGCTCGATGGTCGGATTTCACCCGAAAGTTGCCTTTGGTAGTTACGCGTACTATCTCAGCTACTGCCAATAACCCAGCCCTAGATTTTGAACTTGCAAATTCAACTAGTAAGGGTTGCGGGCTCCTGGTCTCACTGCAAGTGTTTCCTAGTCATTTCCTCAACCTGAGGTATCTTTTAACAGCCTCATGCCTTGGAATGTACTCCAAGTGGGGAAGGTTGAGTAAGTGGTGTTGGTTTTCTCTGTCCCTCCTTTTGGACTCTGGACAGAACTGTTCCAGCACTCCCCTGATGACCACATTTCGGTTTCTGCCGGTGGCCACGTCTGACTGCGTAGCCAGCTACTTTTTTGTCTTCGTAACCCATGCGGTTTTCTCCCCTAATTTTTTCATACCTCGATCTTGTTGTTCGATTTTTGCATGGATCCTGTTGATTTCTTCGTAAGCATTTTTTTCATTTCATTATCTATAGCAACACTTAGTTTCTCAAGTACCGTGACCTCGGATACTATCGTGGAACTGTTACTGGGTTCATGAGTTTCCCGAATTGTACGGGTTTCAAACAGCTTACAGTGTTTCATACATTTTGAACAAGCACAATTTAGACAGGATTTGACACGTATAGCCCCAGGGCCTTCTTGACCAACCTGCTACACCTGTGACGGATATTACAGCTTTGGTACACACTACTTTTGTAATTCCATTATCCTCCTTTACTTATCTCTTCTTTCTCTTTTATGATCTCAACGTTTAACAGTTGTTTCAGCCGGCCTCCTCATTACCCGCTCGGTATTTTTCTGTTATCACTCCGTGATTTGCTCTATGGTTTTTCGTTCTGTAACTGGGACCGACGACGGTTTCGTAAGTCTCAAACATGCATTTATGTATGCCTATAATAGAAACGAAATTTCAACTGTCGTTCATCTGTTTTCCAACGCGCTGGAAATTTGGTGAGTCGAAGTCGAGACATTGTGATACATATTGAACGTTGTTCGGATTGCCGTTACACAGGTCCTAGTATGGCCTCAGCTAGTGGCTGGACGATAGCTGGGTGGATCTCATCAGGACCAGCCACTTCATGATTGCGCAGGCTTCTGACTTCGGTCTGTACCGCGTCCTCCCTCACGACTAGCATCTGCAGCTCGTTTTCATTGGCATCCACCAGAGGGTTCCGGAATCCATTACCCTGAGACGGACGATAGACACTTTTGAAGTAGTCCATCAGCTTCTCAGCCATGTCCTCATCCGTGCTAGCACTGTTACCGTTTGCCACCTCCAAGGTTCCCATACTTTCACGTATGGTTTCCTTGGATTGTACATATGCAAAAAACCTTTTCGGGTTCATTTTGATGTTTCTAGCTTGTTTCGTTTCATACTGGAACTTAGATTCCCGCTTCATTGACAGTGTCTTATTTCTGGCCAAATTGTGGTAAACCTAGGCACTATGAATTCTGCGAAGTTTGTAGAAAGCCCAGTATCTACTACG